GCACTCATAAACATTATTCCTCCGCAGATTGCATCCTTTTACCTCTGAATCTGAATGCATGCTAGGAGATTCTGAACAGTATATATCGTTTCTTAAAAGAACAAGAAAATAATACAGTTATGTAAACATAGCACTTGAGATCACATAAGTACTGTAAAATAACTTCTTTGTAAAAAGGAATCTAAATGATAAAAAGTGGTCTTCACATAACCTGCAGTTTTTTAATTCTTTAATTACAAAATTTATAGTTAACTATTTCAGCTTACTCAACTGAACAATTTTATTTATGTAAAATTTATATGTCATTAAATGTTATTTCAGCATATCTCCCTGAAATAAAGCTATGTTTTATAGTATATCAAGATATAAACAAAATCCTTAGGCAAATGCCTGGAAAATCTATTTGCATCTCAGAATGTCTCATTTTAGATCATCAGCACCATTGTCTCAAGTCTAATGAACTAACAAGCCTGAAGCTCATTCTAACTATACATATTTTGCTATAATGTCTGAGGCTACTGGCTTCATCATTACATTTGAGGCTGAGTTTCTCCATATTGCCATTTCAGTCAGATGGGAAGTCAATTATGTGAAGTACTGGAAGACATTTGGCATGTATCATCTTACCAGAACCTGAGTACACACAGCTGGTGTACTCATGATTGATTACTTGATTGTTGTTATTAGTCATGAAAGATATTGCCTCTTTAACCAAGCCACAGATTTTGAGTCTCTTTGAAAATAGGTAGGTCATCTAGCTTTATATTTACTGTTTGGCAATCCACCAAAAAAAAAAATAAGCCTCACAGTTTGATGTAAAGCCTGCTAAAATCAGTGGTAATGCTGATATTGATAATGAATAGGATCTGTGAGGAAATGAATAAACGTCTCTACAAGATACTACACTAAAAAAAGGAACTGCCATTATCAATCTAGTTTCTCTCTGCATTGATGAAAAACTAAAAGTGACAGGTACATAATATGTTTACTTTCATTCATGTTTTTCCTTTCTTTTGCAGACTTTGGGGAAGGAGGGGTGGGAAATTGAATTATTGTTACACAGCAATAATGATGGTGACATCATCTCTCTATGTGAAAGTGAACACATGAACAAAGATTATTAAGGGGTAGGTGCCATATTGTAGTTAGAAAAGAGAGGCAGAGACAGAGATCATTTCTAGCACACAAGAAACTTCTTGTTCATCTTCACAATGACTCTAAGAAACAGGTCAATATTAATCTCATTTTGAGAATGGGAAACAGAGGTTGAGGAAAGGAAAGTGATTTGAACAGCATTTTGCAAAAGCTAATATCCAATGCTGCCACAATACTGAACCAAGAAGCCTCAAGCCAAATGTAATACGCACTCCTTTCCTTAGCAAAAGATCTCAGGCTAAATTTATTGATTTTAAATGAAACTCATTTTTTTTCCTCTATGATGCTCAGAACTGTATTTGCAGCTTAACAATAAAACTATGAGTATATTAGGCTGTGAGACAATGACTAAGATAAGATAGTTCAGAGGTCTTCACAGTTAAGCCAGATTTGAATTTGCAACACCTTAGTTACTACCAGAAATGTCTGCAGGGAAATCAAGGGAAGGCAAATTATGAAAGCAGCTTTCAACATTTTCAAGAAACAATAAGATACTGTGGATGCTCCTGGTCACCTGTTATATGACTTACTTGTTAAAAGTGCCAGTCTGTGAGTGACCACCAGTTTATCTGCCCCAAAACACATTATCTGGGAGCTCTGGTCAGCAGGTACTGTTTAGAGCTAAAAGGTAGCAGCTGAAGTAGCACACCACTGGATTGATTAGAATGAAGAATTAAGATACCCAAGGGTCAGTACTGATCATCCTTCTCTTCAATGATGATAGTGAGAATGATTATTTATTTTATTTATTATGAAATTTATTTTCCACCCATCTTGTGTTCATTGATTATGGATGGCTTAAATCATAAAAACATTAAAAAATACATTTCCTAATAAATAAATACAAATAAACACTATTTTTCAGAAAGGACAGGTATAAGAGGAAGATGTGACGACTCAAGGACATTGGGTACTATGTTACATTCTTTAATACATTAAGTTACCCTAGAAAACTCCGATTAAGTAACCTAAGCTCAAAAAATAATCTTGGCAAACTATTTTCATGACTGGGTTGAATTAATAAAGCTGGGATTATCAAATCTGCAAGTAACACAAAATTTGGTAGCTTAATTCAAATAACAATCAAACTGGTTAGCAAAACTGGTAAACTGGTTAGTTAAAAAAGTGATAGTTCTTTAAACTGTCATCTATACACTACACATGAGTTACATATCTGCACAAAGACCTGTGGAGAACTTTCTAAAGTTTACAGAGTCATGTCTATTATATACAACTTGGCTATGCACTGCTTCCACTAGAACCAATAAGTGACTCCAAAGGAACAGAAAGGACTGCAACTGGGCAAAAGGATGAGTTCCATAAGATTAAGTACAGTTGATCATCATTTGACCAAGAAGTCAATATGGAGCATGTAATAATTTTATAATATCTTGATGAACATTTCTGAAGAACTCAAAATATTAGCACATTCATTTGTGCTATTTTGGTTGGCCTTAAAGAAAGCACTGTTTCAGCAAGTGGCTGTTGATTCAATACCTATGTATGATTGGGCCTGGTTTGACCCACATGGAATATCAGTGGTACAGCAAGATTGGTATATTTAAAGAAAACTGCAGGAAGTAATGGCAACACTCATATTTAATTGCATGGAAACTACATTGACATATCCCAAGTTACAGTGAATTATCTTGATAGGAGAAACATCTCAACAATGGATGGTTCCAATCCAGCTAAATATATCTGGTAATTTATTTAATTGAATAGTTTTTAAAATATTTTTCACCTCAAGAGAGTCAACAAAATCAGCACTATTACAACAAGGATTATGACCAGAGTGCAAGAAGCAGTGTCATGAATAAAGTTTGTAATGCATGTTTGTAATGCATGTTTGATTTCAAAATCAAAAGGGTCACAAAATATCTCTATTTCTGCTGTTTAAAAACCAAAATTTGGGACCTTAATAGTGTGCATCAGATATTCAGTCTCAAAACTGTTATTAAGATCTAATACTGTAATGATGAGGGAATATAATAAAGGATGCTGGTCAAAGCTACAATTTCTAGCCCAAGTTCCTATTACAGTTAGTGATGCAATTCCCAGAGGATCTAAATTATATTTAACCATGTTCTCTAAAATTTTGAGAGTTGCACTCACCTCTGAGACTATCAGATTTGAAAAGGCTATTTTAAAGGGCACAGAATTCAATTTTCCCACTTAAATCACATCCAACCTTTCTTTTAATGAACAGTTCCTTATCACTTAAAGGATTTTCCTCAACCCTGTACTAACTTGAGCTCTGAAAGAAATAGCTTTTCAAAAATACTATATTGAAATGAACGTATACCTGTAGTATCTTAACAGCAAAGTACTCTCCAAAAGTATTGGATCTGGGTTGATGGACCAGGAACAAGTCATTTTTTGTAAGTTGCCATAAGTTTCACACGTGATTTTGATATTAGCATCTATTTGAAAGACAGCATTAGTGAATATGCAAACAAAAAATAATGGTTCATCAACATTTATAACTGTAAAAACAATCTGATATATTACCTATTATATATAGTTCAGCATAACGATGATTACATTCCTTATTTTCATTACAGCAGTATAAAGCATTAAAAAGAAATTTTCCTCCAGGCTTCATTGCAGGCAAGTTGGTAAGTGTAACTTTGCTAGTATAGTCATTCACCAAAGTGTACTGGCTACTTGGGATTTCTTTTGCTAAATTCAACCACCAGACTATCTTCTTTGATGAGATCATTTTGTCTTTGGTTTTATAAACACAGTAAAAAGAAACGTTTGTTCCAACACTTGCTAGGAGTTTGGAAGGGAAATACATGACATCTATTACAAACAAAAGAAACAAGATTATAATATTTTAAATAATTTTTATAACATTATTCTTTATAAAACAACCACAAATGTTGGGATTTTTAACATGTTTCCCATGTTATTTTTTATTACTTTATAATTGTAATATACTGTACTTTATAATTATGTGTGTGTATCCATATGTATAGGCTTCTTTTACCCTTTTCTAACCTTTTACTATGTCTTCTGTTTCTGTAGTTTTTAAAATCCTTGTGAATTTTTGTTTTAATAAAAATTATTTTATAAATAAATAATCACATTTATTATTATCACTATCATTATTACTATTTTCAAAATTATTCAAATATACATCTATTTTAAAACTTGCAATTATTTAGAATAAATTCTCCATTTATCCAAATTAAGACTATATTGAAAGTGTATTTAAATCAAAGTTCATGGTATTATTACAAGAAAGATACTCCAATTTCAAATACTATGCACTATAATGCATAAATTGCATGTATTGTGGCAAACTTGAACCTACTCAAAGTTGTTTTTACTATAAGTGCTTCAAATTGTGTAACACACTAATACTTACATAAGTGGCTTTATATTTTTCAAAGCAGTTAAATAAAATGATCTAATATCCCGGATTAATAACATTTTTACATGAATATACCTTGTAGATCCATGTTAAAAGGTGAGCTCCAATCACTCCAAAGACCTAATTCCTGATGATTCTTGCATCGAACCTGAATTATATATGAAGATTTGAGTAATTCATTATTTATGGTCAGCGATGTTCCCATGGTAATTTCAGCCACCTATTAAATTATTTTTTAAAAAATAATACAATAAGAATAATGCCATTCTTTCACTGAATTTACTTTAAAAAATAAAATCAGAGATGATAACATGAAGCTAATAAAAAAGAGGATTTATTTTCTTGGTTTTAACACCTGACATTATATAAAGTTTATATGTCCAGAATGCAAAGTTTACATAGGTGCATTTCCAATTTGGCTCATAGAAAATGCATTCAGTAATATAAAATGAAAATAAAGAGGATTGTGCAACCTTTCACATATGCACATAGAACTTGCTTCCTAGACAATTCCATGCCAAACCTTAAACAGATTTAAATTACATTTAGGAAGTAGTATTTATGTTGTGTGTGTGCGCAATTGGGAGAGTAGATTGTAATCCCACTGCATCTCACTTAAAAGTATGTTTTAGTGCTTGCATTGTGATCTAATGAAATACAGGTAGTTCTCAACTTATGACCACAATTGAGCCCAAAATTTATGTTGTTAAGTGAAAATTTGTTATGTGAGTTTTGCCACATTTTCTTGTCACATTTGATAAGTGAATCACTGAAGTTGTTAAATGAGTAACATGGTTGTTAAGTGAATTTGGTTTCCCCATTTTCTCTGCTTCTCAGAAGGTTGCAAAAGGTGATTATGACACTGGGACACTGCAACCATCATAAATATGAAGCAGCTGTAAAGCACTGAAATGTAAATTACATGTCCATAGAGATGCTGTAATGGTCATAAGTGTGAAAAATGGTCATAAGTCACTTTTTGTAACTTTTTTGTAATTTTGTTGCTCCCAAATGTAAACTCATAGTTACTAGAAAACTATGCATTATTCTACATGTACTGAATAACCATTTTTATTGCATAGTTCATTTTTCAGTTTCTCAGAAAGTTAGGACTGTTTAATCTTAAATTAAGCTTGCCAAATTTGCAGTGACTCTCTAACTTACTTTATAAGAGGCTCAGAATAAGGAACCTGTCTCACCTGTTGAAAATTTTTAGTTGAGTTTGTAAAACACTTCACTTCGTATAGAAATAAATTGGATTTAGATGCTGGCTGAGACCAAGAGATTTTTATTTGTCCTGTCTCTGTCATTTCAACTTGCAGATATAATGGAGGGTCAGGTTTTACTGCAAAATAGTATGATAAACAATATACCTTAAACACATTGATTTCCAGTAATATTTTAAGCTTGCTAAAAAGTTTGTTTTAATTTGATCATCTCTATATGTGTATACCAATATTACATGTATAAAATATATATTCAAATATTTTAAATAACACCGTTAATACCAAGAGCATCTTTTTCAATCAATTTCACTTTAAGCAAGAAAGAGTACCCATGTTCCAGTTAAACAAAACAATTTCAACATACAATATGCATAAATGCCTTGGTGAATTGTGGTTGTGGTCTGAAATAGTTGTGGCTGGAGGTTGTTCAGTATCCAAAAGAAGCAAAGTAATAATTAAAATTCTCACATATCTAAGCTTGGAAGAAAGATTTCCCATACCAGGCAATAGGTTTGGTAGAAAAAGAACAAAAGGTATTTTTCAAAAAAAGATGAATAATACAAATAAATCACTGTGTTTTTTAATTCATGGGATGGAAAGTTTCACAATATTCCCTTATATTAACTTAAAAACTGCCACCTGGCTAGGTTGAAATCTAAATACAGATATTTAAGATCAAATATCAAATAATATACAAATTATATTATAAGGAATTATAGAATTTGATAGTATTTGTTGAAGGAGCTACAATTTAAATACTGTATTATATACCTCATTGTACCTTCAGTTGGCCTATATGTTATAATAATTTCACTTATTTTCCATAAATATTCAGATAATATATATTTGATCTGAATCACTGTTATAAGCAAATGATGTATAATTCTGTACTACTGATTTGAATATTCAACTTTTAGCACTATTCTTGAATATTCATTCATTTCACAATTTTATATATAGCTACATTTCTAGGTTCATTTGAAGAATCACTGCTTTGCAAATAAGTTTACTAAATCAATATAATTCAAACAATATGACAATACTTACGACTGACATAGTTCAAACATTATTGTTGTTATTAAAGTATTTAATCATTTACAAATTATTCAAGATATTTGTATAATGAGTGAAGTGATGTACAATAACTAACACAATATATCAGTAAACCCGTAAGTATGATTAAAATCTAAAAAGGCAATAAAATCAATATTTGCACTAAATGGAGTTTACAATAGAATAGATCAGATGTAAAGTTTTGCTAGAGTCGGAAACAACTAGCACGTATGTGTGAGGAGAACTTTTACCTTTACCTTACCTTAAAGTTTTGCTAAAAATGATTATTTATTACTATGAATATATACAAGATTGCATTTCTAGTAATTCAATACCAAGTGATTTGTATTATGAATATTCCTGGGGCTGCTGCTTGAAAAAGTGTGCACAAAGGCAAATCTACATTTTGTATTAAAGAAAGAATCTCACTTCATGTGACTGATTTTTAAAAACTACCACTAGAAACTCTGTGCTTTGGAAGAGTAAGTTTAAAAGTGGAAGTTAACATCACAAACCTCACTTTCGCAATTCCATTGCACAACAAAGTATAGCTGACTTTTGTATGAAGTTATCTTAATCTGTATTTTTAAAAATAGATCCAAACTTTGCATTATTTGAAGTGATGTAACTGAATTTTACCAAAAGCTATTTTAATTCTCCTAACTGGAAGATTTAAAATATCTGACTATTGAATAACATGATTTACAGAAACATTGCGTAATTCCTGTAATTCCATCATGTTTCCCAAACATTAAACTATATTATAATTAATATAAAACACTCATTCTAAAAAGTTTATAATAATTTACTAAACTAATATAATGAAGAAACATTGTGTGTCTATTTTTGATTATAATAAAATACAAAATAGTTCAGGCAATGAGTAATTTTGAAGCAGCTACTTATTAAGCCAGAAAGTATCAAAAGATTAAATGCAACAATCATCTGATTATATAAAACTCTTATTTAATTATATAGAAGTAAAATAAAAAAAGTAAATTACATTTTAATGAAACAAGCATTGTACTAATACAGCTACTGAAAAGTAACCTTTCACAATGTCAGCATCCCATCAAAGTTTTTTTCGCCTATTTTTACTGTTCACACTTGGAATAAAGCATTACAAAGTGAAATTTAAACACATGATTTTTTTCCCATAAGAACAGAGATCAACTTCCCCATTTTTATTCCATCAAGATATGTTGAAACTACAATTTCGGCAAACAATTCTATTTATTTATTTATTTATTTATTTATTTATTTGATTTGCCAATTGTTTACAAGATAATAAGTATAAATGTATACATAGTTGTGAATACATGAAATGGGTACATATAAGAAAAATAAAAGAATAAGAGAAACAATAGGACAGGGACGGTAGGCACGTTGGTGCGCTTATGCACGCCCCCTACAGACCTCTTAGGAAAGGGGTGAGGTCAATAGTAGACAGTCTAAGGTTAAAGTTTTTGGGGTTTGGGGAAGAAACTACAGAGTTGGGTAGAGTATTCCAGACATTGACCACTCTATTGCTGAAGTCGTATTTCCTGCTGGGAGTTGTAGTTGCAGAACAACTAAGGATACCACGAAATGGAATGGAATGGAATGGAATGGAATGGAATAGAATAGAATAGAATAGAATAGAATAGAATAGAATAGAATAGAACATTGGCCAACTGTGACTGGACACACAAGGAATTTGTCTCCAGTGTATAAGCTTTCAGTGTACATACGAACAACAAAGTAATACAATCATAAGATACCAATAAGAGAAGGTAGTGAAAATATTTTATTAGAAAGTACTTGTATCTTTGACTTGTCAAATCTCCACACTCATTTGTGTGTTTTGTGCCACAGTGTGGATTAGGAAAAATAATATATTTTTACAATAAAATTTTACAATTTTATTTATAATATACTATGAATTTAAATAATTAAAATTTACTTATATGAAGTCTGAATGTCAGAATAATGAAATGCCAAAATATAAATCACAATATTCAATGAATGCTAGATTTATAACTAATAATATTAATTCAACATTTTAGGGAATTCATTCAGGACTAGTATCACTAAACAGAATGACCGTTTTACTTCTAATTAAATAATGTTGGGATGCCAAAAATAAAAAGATTTTAACATAAGCATTTCATTCTGTACTGCCTTTCCCATTACTTCGTTGGAAAGAATTGAGAGAATTGACCCTTTTAGAGTAAGTTTGACTTAGCCATGATGTACATCTATACCTGTAAACCAAGGTTGTCTTCATTACTGTGGAATTTCAAGAATAATTCCGGCTCAGTCTGACAGAGCTTGGAAAGCATGCTTGATGTTTTTACTAATAGATCAAAACTTACCAATATCTATAGGCTTGACTGACATCAATGGTGACTGCAGTAATATAGTTCCATTAGTGATCTTGAGCCACATAATGTAAATATGATTCAGTTTTATTGAAGATATCTGACATTCATATTTTTGGGCTTTTAGAGTATTACAGTGAGTAACTGTAGAATTTTCCTTTAGTAAATTTGTAGAAGCACTTTCCAGTGATGCATCTGTTCTGAAAAGAAAAGAAAATCAAGCATTTTCTTGTGATTTCTTTTACTAGATCATGCAGAGGACTTTATTAGAAATTCTGTAAATTGCTTGCATTATGTTTGTTATGCATGTAAAAAAGGGGGGAAAAAACCTGTGTTGTAAATGCCACAAAGTACTTTAACTTCTACAAAAGCACAATTAAAAAAATGGGCAGCCATTTTTTATAATTATAACAATCCATTCTGATTATAGTATTAAAATACATTTCTACATCAATATCTATACGCACTATAAAGCCATTCCTGTGGCAGACGGAAGAACAAACATTTGTGTGATGTGCCTGTACCATTGCACATATCCGATTTGTATTCATTTTATCTATTTTATTTAAAACAGAAGAAAAATGTTCACAATATGAAATCTTCACTGGCCCCAAACTGATCAGCCTATGGAACTCCCTGTCTTATCCTGTAGTGGTAAATATGTTTGCTTGTAGACTAGCTACTCATTTGCAAATAAACTCCTTTTGGGAAAGATTTGTGAAATAAGCAAGGAGGCAGAGTGCCCAGGCAATTCACAGGAGCGGGAGGGGAAGCTTCTCCCCACTAAAACTCCCACCAACCCTCTAGAGCAGGGATGTCAAACTCACAGTGTCACGGCAGCATCATGTGACATATCAGGACTTTTTTCTCCTTCATTAAACCGGGTGTGGGTATGCCCAGCGTGTGACACATGTGGCCTGCAGGCCGCGAGTTTGACAGCCCTGTTCTCTGTAATGTAAAATTTGACTCCAAAGCTACTCCAAAGCTACTGCAGTGTTTTACATCAAATTTTTATATGTTCCCATTTAACAAAGGGAAAAGAATTTGGGGATGACCAGAAGTTAAATTGTTTTATAAGGAAAAACCATAAGACAGAAAGTAAGAAGACAGAAACCTCAACTATAGAGCAGGCATAGTTTGAGGGTGACATATTGTGTTGCTGTGTAAATATGGAGTTTATGAAATAGTCCAATTACCCACTTACCCACTTATGTAGAAAGATTAAAAAAAAAAAACCCAAAAATTGACACCACTTTCGGGCAATTATTTAGGCAGCTTTGGACAACCAGAATTTCCTGCAAAAATTGTTGTGTATTAATTTCATATGGTTGAATTCTCTGGGTGAATTCTCCCATTGCATAGCCAAGTTTGAAAACTGAAATTTTATAAAATATTTTTTTAAATCCTATAGGGAAGGAGAAATTATTTTTCTGCAAAAAAAAAAAAAAGTCTGCTTGATGCTTTAAAGAACCAAATCTTCAGTGAGTGAAACACTTTTTAAAGACTGTTTTGAAATCATAAAATCATGCTTTGGGAGCAGGCAGAATCACATTATTACAATCCTGTTTTTTTAAATATAAGTAAGTTAATAAATATCAAACACGTTTATACTGTTTGGAAAATGAATTCCTGGGAAAGGGTGAAGAATGGAAGAAATAAATGGAAGGAGCTGAAAACCCCTCACAGTTGCCTTTGTATAATATTTTGTTATAATATTCCATTCTCCTCAGAATACTATTGAAATCTTTTCAGAATGAAAAGGTATAATTTTCTTAATGTTATAATCTGAAGTTTCTTGTTTTTAGTCTGTACAGACATAATACCAACAGAACTAATGTCAACAGATATGCAACAAGGCAAGGAAAAAGGCTTGCAAAGAGAAATATAAAATTACATCTGTTGCTCTATGCCTCTTTTCAGTTTTTTCTTCAAAATTATATCCATCGAAATATAAAATTAGCACTAAAACAACAAAATTAATATCCCTCAAATATTCTTAATAATATAATATGCTTTTCTTATTTCAAATTCTTTTGAATCATGTGTATGACATCTGTATGTTTTTTTATACACATCTATTTTTTATCTTGTCTAGTTTTGCTTTGTTTTTGCATTTTCTTTCCTTTTGGGAGTTTGTATTTTAATGTTATGAATAAATTAAAAATATTGACAAAAAAATTTAAACTCTTCTGAGTTCACTGTTTGGACTAGATTATGGAAAGTTTGGGTTTTTTTATTTGAGTTACTATTTTGTTTTCCTTCCTCTAAAAAAATCAATTCAAAATATCTTCTTTGGCTGACCTCTAAATAATTTTGTTTTTTCACAAACTAGAAAACTGATCAGAGGAAACAAATATATTTTTGAATATATATTAACTTGTGACATCCAAAATGGAAGGTACTGGATGAAATGTAATAAAAAGATCAAATTAGCCCTTGGCAACAACAGTGTCAGTGTGAACAGAAGCAGTAACTAACAAAACACCTCAGCCCTTGTGGCAGATTGTCAAAGTAATAAACTAAGCACATACATAAATTAAGCAGTGAGTGAGTTTAGCAACAGGGCAAGACCAAGGCAGTTGATCATTTCCTTGCCTGCAACAATGAACAATTCAACAAACAATTTTTAAAAATGCTATGTAGGAGAATTGTCATCCAGCATGATTGATCTCTATGTTTACTATCTTCTCTCAGTTTTTAGACAATGGTTCTATTCTTGATAGAAAATAATATTTGTAGGTCAGGGTAGAATTGTGGGGTTCTTGGTGCAGTCAGAGCTGGTTGTTTTCTTGCAGGTGTTTTATTGCCAAACTATGGTTGATATGATGATGTTACTTGATAATGAAATGTCTACAAGAAAACATTCAGGCTCAGAGAGCACCAAGAACCCCACTGTTCTATTCTTTTTAATCTAGGGACAATCAGTCTTTAGATAAGGGTTGCTCAAATGTGGCGGATAATAACAATCACCTATTTTCTTCTCATTTCCTTTCTCCCTTTCTGAAGGACAGATTTGGCCACCTTTCACAAAATGAGAGCTCCTTCTACCTCTGAATTTGGATTCAAAGTTTTAACACACCAAGCTTTATTTAATATATTAAGATCAATTTGGAAGAAAAAAATTCTGCAATGCAATCTATGCTAAACGGGTGATCATTTTTCATAGTAATGGTTATGATAGAAGTACATGGAAGAAGAGTAAGACAAATGATCCAGCGTATTCTTCCTAAAGTTAAAAGCAGGATTTGGCACTTGAATAATACATAATTTCCTCCTATGAAAGATACTCTCCCAGTCCCTTCCAAACTTATAAATTCTGCTGTCTGTATTTTGCATTCTACTGCCAATAGCAATAGCATTTTGACTTATATACCACTTCACAGTGTTTTTACAGCCCTCTCTAAGCAGTTTACAGAGTCAGCATATTGCCCCCAACAATTTGGGTCCTCATTTTACCTGCTTCAGAAGGATGGAAGACTGAGTCAACCTTGACCCTGATGAGATTCGATCTGCCAAATTGCAGGCAGCCAGCAATGAGCAGAAGTAGCCTGCAATACTGCACTCTAACCACTGCGCCACCATGACTATATTCTCAGACAGCATGTAAACACTCCATAGAAATATCCAAAGCACATCAGTATCACTAACATTTCAAAGAAAATAAATATTTCTTCTATGTCCCAGCAAAGTGGCAAGCCATAACAGAAATAGCACAATCAAAGCCCACATCTTCTATTTCTGGTTAGCAATGGAACACCTGGAACTGATTTCCAGGCAACTTCACAGATAAATTATGGGTAAATGTCATTCAAATGAAGCCACAGCCTATATGATGTATTGCCCTAATTTATGATATAGTTAATAATAAGTGCCAACTCTGGATTCATGGGTGTTCTACATTCTCAGTATCAAATATCAGTAATTTAATATTAGTAATTGAATTTTTTTTGCACTACATTGGAACAAAGGTTTGTGATGCTGCAAGTTATTGTTTCAACCCTTCAATAATTAGGAAAAAAATAAACCATGAAGGCAATTCATAACCACAAAAGGTCTCCAAGTATATCTCATGTAACTCACTAGTTACATTAAAACATTAAAAATATTGTGAAGGAGCCAAAACAATGTAGAAAAATAGAACAGATCGTGTGCTAATGAGGACGATGTTATTGCCAGTGGTGTTGAAATTGAATCTGGAAATGAATATGTGAAATGGTGTATCAACTTTGGTGGACTTATGCTGAAGAAAAGAAATATTGGGAACAGATTCATGTTATAATACAGAGGATCTTTAAAATTAACATAAAATTGAAAGCTGAAGTTTTTCTTTTAGGATTATTGGATAAGGAGTCGGAAAAAAGATCTGGAACTTCATTACTGTTCATGTTGATTGCAGAGAGAATTATTTATGTACAGTAATAGAAAAGTATGTCAATGCCCACAATAGAAGAATAGATGGAAAAAGTGATGAGAGCTAGCAGAGAGGGCAAAATTTAGAAAAGAATACATCCAGCTTTATTTCTACCTGGAAACCACTTCTGGACTTCGTATTCGAGTCAAAAAATATATATGAAATCTTGACTTTGGGTTTCTGCTGATTAAGTTAGTTTGTTATAGAAATAATTAGTACTTGCTAAATTGGTAAAGTAAAAAGAGGCTGCAATTCTGTTTTATATTTTACTGTGCTGAAATAATTTGGAAATCAAAGATTACTTTTTTTTTCATTTCCCTTTTACCCTACACTTCTGTTTCCCATCATTTTCATTTCTCATTTCTATACTATCTTTATTTTCATTTGTATTTTATGATCATTCTAATGATTTTTAAAGAGAAACAGAACATCTAAATACTCAATGACAATGATATTTTCTTTTGTTCTTCAAGTATCTTCACAATTACTATACCATTAAACCAATTCACAATAGAGGTCATAGAGATTAAGAATGCGTTGTTGGTCAATACAAGGAGAAAGTGTAATTGGGAACCTTAAAAAATAAAAATAAATCATATTGGGAACTTTAAAAAATATTTGTGGTAAAGTGTAGGGGAGAAAATATTCTGGTTTAAGTTTGTGCTCTACTAATTGCAAGTGTTCATTTTTCCACTGGCTGCTATTTTTCTCTAAATTCCTAAGAGAATTCAGATGCAATTCTCAATATCTTACTTCTCTCAAAAAAATTAACTAAACATATTACATTAAGATCAATTTCTTTTAGAAATCTGGAAAAAGCAATATTTCTAGCAAAAAATAAAAATGATTGTAAAATCTGGGCAAAAATGATAGGTACCCTGTTTCCCTGAAAATAAGAGCTATCCCAAATATAACCCCTAGCATGTTTATGTGTGCACCTAATATAAGCCCTATCCCCAAAATAAGCGCTACTTAAGGCTGCACAGTCATCTACCCATTCTGGTTGCTCATGGTGCCACAGCCACGAGGCAATGCAGGGTGGTGGTAGAGTTGTAGGTGGCCTGGCTGTGGGGGCCTTGAGATAAGCAGGTGCGGGGCACATGGGACAGCTCCATCCATCCACCTCACGCCACTCACCAAGAGCAAGCAGAAGAAGTGGGCTTCCTGTACATGGAAAAAAATAAGACACCCCCTGACAAAAATAAACACCCCCAGACTTATTTTTGGGCAAACACAACAGATAGATAGATAGATAGATAGATAGATAGATAGATAGATAGATAGATAGATAGATAGATAGATAGATAGATAGATAGACAGACAGACAGACAGACAGACAGACAGACAGACAGACAGACAGACAGACTCTCAATGTGAATCAACTCCCATATGAGAATTGAATTCACTAGGTTTACAGTAAGAATTTTGGATTCTCAAATCTGTCCATTTCTCAAAAATTAATATATTTTGATGTCTGTGGGAATTCTTATAATTGGTTCCTGAATATTTATGCTTGTTTCCTTTATCTTACAGAGGGCATATACAAGGTAAATTAAGGCCAACTACTGTTGTTAGCCATTATTCCCAGTTTCCCTTGGAGAATCTATTTGAAGAAGTACAAGGAAGGGAAACTCATTCTATTTAAATGAGAGAACTTTCTTCTCATTCTGAACAAGACAGCCAATAAAACACAAATATTGCATTCTCCAGTGTTGTGAGTTTTCAATTTTTGATATTTTAATAGCCAACTCTACATTCCAGAATAAGTCTTCTTAGTTCAGCATGCCTGGAATCTTGGCCATGATTAAAACCAATCTGGCTTAGTTTAATACATAAATACTACAAAAATACACAAATGATACATGCATGTGCCTTTTCCTCCTGTGGATTTTAAAGCAGAAAGCTTTTTGATATAGTGTTTCTAATGAAAACACACATATTCCCAATAGGGAACGTAATTTTGAGGCCAGACCACATAAAATAAATGTTTCTTTATTCCCTTCAGTAAAGCTAAGAACTATGTCAACAAAATATTTTGCTATTCAGAAGACTCTGGAATACAAAATAACAGTTTTAAAGATTTCAAAAGGGCTGCATGATATAAAACTACAATTAAACAGAAGTATCTGATGACAATATAAAGCAGTCTACAATATTGATTGTTATTCTGATTGCTATTCCTGTTTTAAGCCTTAAAAAATATTGCTGAAGAAATGTGTTCATGGAATCGTGATGGCGAACCTATGCCATGCATGCTGGAAGTGGCACACAGAACCATCTCTCCAGGCACATGAGCTGTTCCCTGTTGCGCTTCCACATTCCGGTGTGCCGGCCAGCTGTTCTTCATACATGCGGGAGCACCAGAAACTGGGAGAGCAGCCACCCAGCACACATGTGTGCGCCAGGAGATGATCTTCCTGTTTCCAGCATGCGCATTTCATACTGGCCACCTTGTCTTCCAGTTTCTGAGGTGCAGGCATGCGCTAAGACCAGCTGACTGGTCACACGCACGCACCAGAAACTGGAAGATCATCTTCCTGGCCCACCGGGCAGCTGCTCTTCCGGTTTCCGGCATGTACATGTGCACTGACCATTTGGTCTTTGTGTGCGCATGTATGCCAGAAACTGGAAGACAAGGTGGCTGGTGCGCATGTGCACGCCAGAAACCAGAAGAGCAGCTACCCGGCATGTGCATGTGCATCCGGCGGCTGCTTTTCTGGTTTCCAGAACATGTGTGCATTCCCATTTTGGCGCTTGGCGCCAAAAAGGTTCACCAACACTGTCAGAGAAGATGTCTTTCACCTGCCAAAAAATAAACATGCCACTTTACAAAATAACAGAATAGAGAGGAGGGAATGTTAACTGTTACTTTTCATGTTTGGAATATAGGTCTGGTTCCAGAGTTCTTAAATACCATACTATGATCTCATATCACAGTACAATGAATTTGTGTAATATATCATCTCCAAATAAAATGAATAATTTTATTGTGTTAAGGTTGGACTATAAATTTTTCATAATTACTTTGTAATCTATAAAATAAAACAATATGTTATAATTTTATAAAATAGAAATGTTCCATGGACAATATCCCTGAAATACAATAACATTTAAAACCATATTTTAACAAAGAGAATAGGCTTGCTTACTGAATAATTAATGAAATCTTTAAATTTATTTTGAAGACAGCAAGTTCTCATTCACCCCCCCCCAAAAAAGTAGGTTTCCTTGCCTTAAATCAACTGTTTTTAAACTGTTCTTAAAATGTAGAACACGGGTAAGAAGCTATATTTTGTTTTTAGTATTCTGTGTTCCATGCCAGCCCTTTTTTCCCTTTCAGCTTGGTACCTGGTACTTGGAAATTCCTTTCTCTTGGAACTTTTTCTTGTTAAAGGAAGAGGTATTTTCCCACCCCCATCACCTAATATGAAGTAAATCTGATAGAAAATCTTAAAGCAAAATATAAAACTGGAGCTACCCTTATCAGAAGTCAAAATATTAGAGTGGAATAAGATCCTGTAATTTTTAAACCTCACAAATTTTAATTTGGATTTTGATTATACTTACAATGCATGCAATAGGTTAACTGTAAAGTCTTCATTCAAATAAGGTGACTTAGTAGATAATTTCACAATACAAAACAATTCTTCTGTGGTTTCATTAGTCCAAAACTGCAGATTCCAAAATGAATCTAAATAGAAAGTTAAGCATTTTTAAAAAATAATAATTAAAAAAACATCCTTGTAACCCTAAACTCTTGAAAATAATTTATCATTCCCTCATTGGTGGTCTTATAAATGTAAAAATTATATTATATTATAGTAAATCATTTTTGCAAATACAAAAATGGTGGAGTTTGTGTAATGAAGTCATATTTTATCATCCCCCACTTCTCCCTCATCTCATGGACAACCCCAAACAACTACTACAGGTATTATGCATATTTATTTATCCCTTCTATAATACCTGTAGACAAGACTATCCAATTTCTCAATTGACACTGACTCTAACTCAATTCAAGCAGCAGTCAAAATTCCATTGCTGAAAAGATTTTTTTAAAAAAAGCTATTGTAATTTGCTTTAGTTTGGTCACTGTTTTATTCATGATCTATTTTAATGCATACAGTTCGATTTATTTATATTCTTTGCTCATATTTTCATTGTATAGCAGCTCTAACAATTTAAACTAATTTCAGTAATTAAGGCACATTTTCCAAGCACACCTATCTGCTGAAGTGTTGAACCAACAATTCTTGAAGAAATAAGTGCTTTGGCTTCCATTTCTGCAGTGTATGCAAAACAATTCATATATGTATCACTCCAGTGGCAACATAAGAAATTCTCTCCAGCCACCAATACAGTGGCATTGTCTCCAATTGTACCATGCACATCCTGCCAAGTGGAACCATCCTCTGCCATAGTTGGTATACAGGGCATTTCAAAGGTCTGTGGAGGAATCTGATATACCATGCAATGAGAAATGACCACTTGAAAGAAATCTAAAGAGAGGGGGGAAAAAAGAATAGTTTGAATATTTTAAATAAGGAAGACCTAAATCTCTATTGCTAGTAAGGGAAAGCTTAGACGTATTCATAACTTTATATATCTTTAGTTGATATATGTTACATTAATGAATAGAATTTGATTGCAACAATTTTTAACAACAATGTTTTAAAAGACAAAATTATATATAAATATCCAAATAACGTTCACTGTCACACGGTTTCTTATCTGTTGCAATTCTTAAACTACATTTAGTGGCTTAAACAAACTGAAATGTGTGGACCAAATTTTAGTAAGATGAGCTGGTATAATTCTAATAACTATTCAGAATGGCTTGATGTGTCATTCTAACATTCTTTTAGTATCATACAGGGTGTAGATCCTGCCTGCCGTAAACAGAGCTTACAGGAGATCTCTGGGTTAAGAGTGAGATCCATTCCTGTCTGTCCTTAACTCAAAATTATATATATAATTGATTGCCTAAAAAGGGTGGATAGTGTTTTTCCTTTCATGAATCACTGAAAACAGGCTGCATATTAAAAATTTGCAGCTTCAACAGTATATGCTTCAGGGATTCATCAGCCGGAGGAAGGAGTTTCCCATTTGTAAGTATGAGTAATCCGTAAGTCGGACATTCTTAACTTGGGGACTGCATGCTTCTAATCCACTGTAAATTTCTATATATTTATTTATTTGGTACCTTCAAGTCACCGTTGACTCCTGGTGATTGCCATTTTCTTGGCAAAGTTTTTTCTTTTTTTGAAGTGGTTTACCATTACTGTACCTCCTTTCTAGACCTGAGACAGAGGATCCGCCCCAAGGTCACTCAGCTGGTTTTGTGTCTAAGGTGAAACTAGAACTGATAGTCTCCTGGTTTCTAGCCTGGTGTCTTAACCATTACATTAAATTGACTCTCAGTTTAAAATTATTCCTACTCCTAAAACTGTTCTGGAGAATCGAGAAACTTGAGGTAAGAAAAATTAGCAAAATCATGTCTTTACCATTATATTATATTCAGAAAAAAGTCCAGTTGGTAAAGAAGAAGCCAGATTCAACCCACAGTATACATTTATACAGAAAATTAGCTATAACAAGAATCATATATGATATTATACTGTAATTAGGGATGGAATTACACTACAGATGTGTCAAGCACATCTTCTAATGACACAGTTTCTGCAGTGGAATAGGAATAAATACTGTGGCAATAAGTATGATTGATTTGTTTTAACTATTAGTGCAATTATAAACTCATAAAATATATTTGAACTTAATCACTAGTTTTAACATTTGTAGAGATTCTGGCATCAAAAATTAGGATCATATTCTGCAATTTAAAAACGAATCCATCCTACAAATGAGAAGCAAAGACAAGATATTTCAACTTACTTAACTGTAGAAATCCTGTCAAAATGTTGTTCCAGTTCATCTTGTTCTGGTCAATGGATCTTGGAAGAAAATAGAGAGAAAGATCATTTACATTTCTACTATCTGAAAGAAGTTTCACAAGCTAATTTTTTGTTTTCAAAAAAAATGCATTTTTCCCAGTAACTGCAGACTTGGGGAGTCAGCGGGATTCTTATCAGACAAAGGCAATAATGAGGTAAATAACTGTCTTAGACAGACATTTCAGGTATCCAATGGATGGCTCGCTCTTTGACGTTCGCCACTTCAATGTGCAAAGTGCCTCTATACAACCATTCAAGAAACCTTTCTTGGTGATGACTGTGTTGTTGGTGCATAAATATAGTGATCTATGGTTGATGCTGAACAGATTCTCAGAAGCTGCTATGCATTTCAGCCTGACTATCAAATTGAATAAAACTGAAGTACTTTACCAGTCTGTGCCAAATACCAAGCCTGTACAACTACTGTTGACACCATTCAGCTGGCAAATGTAAACAGCTTCAAATACTTGGAGTGATGAGTATTTGGACAACAAAATTGATTCCAGGATCAGAAAGGCCAACCAGGCACGGGGATGCTATGTATTAGAGTGATAAATCCACACAACATTCATATTACAGCAAAGCTGAAATCTACAGAGCTGTGAGTATCCCTTCCTTTCTATATGGAATTGAGTTCTCAACTCTACATCAAACAACAAAGAAATTTTCACTGCTCCATCTTTGGAATTTGTTGACAAACTGTGTCTCCAACCTGGAGGTTCTGGATTGTGTGGAGTCCACCAGCATGTAGTCCCTGATTATCAAAGCCCTGATGAGATGACTGGGACATGTCATCAGAATGTATGTCTGCCATATGCCTTACCAATTGTTCCACAGTATACTGGAATCTGTGAAGACTTTGAGGTTGATCATGCAAGCTCTAAAGAGACACTGAGAAAGAAACTCTGTGCCACTGTGACATCCAGCCAAGAAATTAGAAGCTGTGCTGCTGATAGAACCTGCTGTTGAGCATTGTGCCATGGGAGCCATCAAAAACTGACAGAAAACCATGAGCAGTGTCACAAAATAACATCCACACTTAGTATAGCAATGGATTTCCATTGCCCCCTTTGTGCTAGACTGTGCTTCCAGACAGGGATTCTGTTCTCCCTCTCCACAAATGAACAGCACAACAGAATGTCTTCTTTGAAATAAAGGGATATAATAACATATCATCACATCATATCATGCCATAATATAGAAAGCTACTCTTTTGATAGATTTAACATAATGATAAAAGTACAAATATATAATACCATGCCAAATAGAATGAAGGAAAACATACATTTAAAATTCCAAAAGATGTACGGTGGTGAGATTTGAAGAGGGGGAAAAATTATCCAGGCAGATATATAGTGTCTGTTGGCACCATCTTAAGCCAAATGCATGTAAATGTGTGGTTTCCTTAAGATGTTGCCAACAGGTGCAATGGCAATGACATGCTCCCAATGATTTTTTCTTTTGGATTGCTGAGTAGCCAATTAAACAAGCTTTCCAATGATGTGTTTTACAGTACAGTCTCAAAACATTTAAAAATTGTATTTAATGGAATGTATTGCTCAAATTTATGTTTGCAACTCTTTAAAAAGAAATTTAAAAAGTGTAGAGGAAAGCACAGTGCCTATTAATATAATAATGTGTGTGTGTGTGTGTGTGTGTGTGTGTGCAGTGAAAACCAGTGGTAACACCAGCATCCACAGGGACTTAGGGTCAAAAAAGTCATTTGCAGCAGTGTGATGGAAGCACTGTTCTTTTCTAGGAGCATGTGATATGACAAAGAAAAGGATTAGTGCTTTAACTATACTTCCATATCCATCATCTTGCCTTTCTTAATTTCCTCTTCCCAGAGATAAAAATGAGCATTCAGGGAGATTACTCAATTTCTTTTTAATTTCTTTTTAATTTCCCTGAACTTTGATGGTTTCCACAGATTCCCAGCATTTATAAAGCTACTGGTGGTGGTATCAGCATCCTACCTCTTTATATTAGGTCAGATTGCTTTCTATAAGTTTCTGCCCTACAAAAATATCATGGAATAGGTGCATGTGAAAATATCCTAAGATATGGAAAAATAATTTTCAAAAATCACATCTACTTAAAATCAAAATTTAAAAAGTTGCAGATGGATGTACATTCATACTGCAGTGTGCTCTAAAACAGACTTTCCATATTATTTCTAAAGTGCTGCACAGTCCTATTCCTTATTTCTTTAAAAGCTTAAATAATGTATAGAATCATTTATGCATGAAAGAGTAACCAAAGTATAAGTAAGTATAATAATTCATATTTGTGCTATGAAGCACTACCCTGTTTCTCCAACAATACGGCCTCCCCCAATAGGAAGTCCCAGCATGTTTTATAGGCATGAAATGAAATTAAGCCCCTCCCCCCAAATTAAGGCCTATATTAAAACATGCGAAATGGGGGGGAATGGTGGTGGGGCTTTCTGTTAGGAAGTACTTTTGTTGCACACTCAGATATGATGCTGCCTGTGTTGACCCCGATATGAAGTGCCCCACCAATGCCGAGGTCATCATCCAAGCCATCGCTGCCCACCCACCCGAAGATGCAAGGGGGGGAATTAAGTCACCCCCGAAAAGACGGCCTAGCCATTTTTTTCAGGGCTCAAAAAAAAAAAAAGACCCGGCCTTGTTATATGAGAAACACGGTAGATGAATAGCATACAATAACACTTGGCTGAAAAATGGAGTATGAAAAAATCAGAATACCTTAAAGTATGGATGTTACATAAGATGGAGACAAGAAAATGCTCAACTCTATGCTATCAAATCTAAAGTCTTGAACCATCTAAACAAATTGTAAAGTCTTGAATCATCCACTTGTTTCTAGTTAGTCCTAATATAAGAAAGTAAAGGACAAGATTACAGAATGTATAGGTGTGCCTGCATGCACATACATATACAGAAAAACCTTTTAATACAGCTGGAGAGCCTTCAAAGTTTTGTTATTTTGTGAATAGAGAGGTTTAGGGGGGATGATACCACATATTTTTTGGGTTTTAAATTGTAGTTATTATCTTATGTATTGTTATTATTTATGCTTATTTGTAGGAACCACTGAGCACTTCAGTGATTGTGGCAGAATATAAATTTGTTTAATAAATAAATAAAATAATAAAATTAAGTTGGAAATATTTCTGAAAATAGGGAGTTTGAATCTCACTGCCACATATGGAGTAACAGAAATGGAATAGAAGCCTAGATTACAAAAAGAAAGAATAAAAAGAACAAATGAGTAAATCACATCTGCCTACTGTGAAATAAAGTGACAGCAAATTTATTTTACTAAAATAGGCAACAGATCTTTTAGCTTTGCTGAAGAAACTTAAGGCCTATATGACATCACTGGTCCAAAGGGCATTTAATCAGGATTACTTGAGTTTCAGAATATTCACAAAATGTTTCTCGTTTCATTTCAACTACCTTGGAGATGTCAGATAATTTAAAGTTCAAGTTATTTAAAGAACACATCTCCTCCTACTTAACTTTGGTTTATATTCATTGTCAACTTTAGATTGCATGTTCCTTGAGCTAGTGGCATTATTTTCATGCTCCTACCAAGTGGGTTGTATGCATTATGCTTATGTAAAAATAATGCATATATTAGAATACTAGAATTCTTAAAATCAACAAAATCAATAAGCATTTTCTGAAACCTCAAATAATACATTTGCTGACATTTTAGCTTTCAGGAAGCTATTATTTCCCTTAGTCTTTCAGCCAAACTTCTGTCGTGTTAGGGACAAATATAAGAATTATATTTATATCAACATACTGGTGTTTGTTAGTGGTATTTCCACAGATTCTGGGTCAGTGATTATTAAAAAGGTACATGTAATCATGTGCTAAACAATATAATCTTAATTAAATAACTGATGTAAAATTGGAATTGTTAAGCTCCTAACAGTAAAAATATCAAGACAACACAAAAGAGAGATCTCCACCAAAAACTTTCAATTTTCAACACCACATCAATTTTAAAGTGAAATAAAAATACCTGTCCATTATGGTCATAAGTTGCGATGGTTGTAAACTGGATCATCAAATGGAGTCCCTGCAGATGTTACTCCACTAGTCATTGCCAGCAATGCTCATCTCCATTTCAATACCATTGAGCCAGCGCTATCATGGAGTGCTGTTACTTTCCCACCAAATGGTACCTATTTATCTACTCTTATTTGCATGCTTTCAAAATGCTAGGTTGGCAGGAGCTGAGGTGAGGATGAGAGCTCAGCCTGTCCTGAGTGGAACTCAGGCCTCAAACCTGGGCTGCCAACTATTCAGCCGACAAGCCCAGGGTCTTAATCACTGAGCCACTGCACTGCCTTGGTCATCATATGATTAATCCAATTTTATGAGCTTGTTCTATGGTGGTCATTAAGCAAATCACTATGGTTATTATGTCAATCCATGGTAGTTAAGCAAACCCATTTTTCACTGTGGGGGCGTATCGGTCTTAAGTGCTATTGCTAAAAACATCATAAATCATGCTCACATGATTGCAGGATGCTGCAAATGGCCATAAATCAGCACTATTTGCCATATGCCCCAAATACAGTCATGTGGCTACAACAGGCCCCTAGCCATCAGAACTTTGGAGCCATGTCATAAGTATCTTTTGGGAGGTCCATGGTAAGTCTAGGACTACTGATATCTGGAATTGGCATAAGTATGATAGGAAATGCAGAGCATCTAAACCTGAATCCGAATTGACAAAATGTTCTGTTTATTTCTTTGTTTAAGATTATACTTCTAACAGCAAGTTTTCCACTGTAATTTCAGAAAAGAATGCATGTGTGTGTGTGTGTGTATTCATTTGTAAGTTTTTATAATAGAAGTAACTTTTTCTCTGTTCATAGAAATCTGATCTTATGAAAGGTATTTTATTTGTTTTCCCCAACAGAGCCATAAGGATTTTAATTTACAATTCAGTTATTGAGACTTGAATAGAACAAAAAGATGTCAACATTTTAAACCTTTAAAAAATTAAATCCAGAACAAAGCTATAAAATGTCAGCAAATAAATATTAGAAAATGGAAAAGACTTCAATGATTTGATTGAATTTTAACAGGTTGCAGTGATTTAATGTGTCATGAATTATCATTGCTTTGAATCCCCAATATAATATTTTAGAAAAGCTAAAATAAAATTTACTTCAAATTAATTCACATTTTAATTTCAAACATGAATATACTTTGGAGAATATTAGTAAATATCCTGCTATTCCTAGATGTCTTTTCATATTACGAACAAAACAATTTACAAGAGAAAAAGATTTACCAGTAGAGTAAAATCTAATCCCATACTTTACATCAATAAGAATTGGGAAGATTAATACAACTACATTTGTAAGTTGATCTCCCATTATCAAGATAGAAATTAGCAAAAATATGACTGCATTTGTTAAAAATTTGATTCTAGCAGTAATTAATTCTTCTTTGAGTGAGGAGGATATTCCTTTGCCTTAGTTAAAAAGGCCTTAATTCACCTCCTCCTCAGGAAGTAATCTCCCACCATACTGGACAATTTTTGTCCTCTATTTAATTTCTCTTTTGGGTGGTTGAGAAGGTGATTGTGTGACTGCTTCAGAGGACCCTGGATTAAGTAGATTATCTGGATCCTTTCCTGTCAGGTTCAAACCAGGATAGGGGATGAAAACATCATTGCTTATACTTTTGGAATGATTTCAGGAGGGTTGGGGAGGTGGAAAGGATTTTGTGCATCCATCCTTGCTCTACTGGACTTCTCGGCAACTTGGTATCCTTCTGGATCAGCTCAGAACCAGAGTTGGTATTCAGCAGGTTCTCACCAGTTCTGGAGAACCGGTAGCGGAAATTTTGAGTAGTTCGAAGAACTGGCAAATACCACCTCTGACTGGCCCCGTCCCCATTTATTCTCTGACTCCCAAGTCCCAGCTGATTGGCTGGGTCTTCTTTTGTTGCCCTGCACAGGAGAATGGAGCTGGAAAGCAGGTTAGTGGGGTATAGAGGGAATGGGATTTTGTAATAACCTTCTCCCAGGAGTGGGGTGGGAATGGAGATTTTACAGTATCCTTTCCCTGCCATGCCCACCAAGCCACGCCCACAGAACTGATAGTAAAAAATTTTGAATCCCACCGCAGCTTAGAGGATAAGGGTGGGTGGCACAGTATTATACCTGGTCGTAGTGAAGTAAGGGTCAGAATAGGAAACAGTTGTCTTCAGCTAAACCATGGCAAGACTGAGTGGCTTTGAGTTTTGGATTCTACTTGTTCTAGGACTATCTTTGGTGCTGGATAGAGTGGTACTGCCTCAGACAGAACTGGTGTGCAATATTGGAGTCCTTCTAAACTCAAGAAGCAGGTGGAAGCCATGGCTAGCAACTTCATTTTATGTGCTAGTTGCACCTATTCCTGCACCAGGAGGCTCTAGTTAGGGTCACTCACATACGAATTGCCTCCAGACTGGAATATTGTAATGTGATCTACATAGGGTTCTTCTTGAAGAGTATCCAGAAGCTTCAACTGGTATGAAATGCAGTGGTGTAGGTACTCTAAGGTAGCACATTTTGCACTTCTGCTCTGTGAGCTGGGCTGGCTGTCAGTTTGCTTACAGGTGCAATTCAAGATGCTGGTTTTGACCTGTAATGTTCTTCATGGCCTGGGGTCACATTATCTGAGGAGCTATCCCAGTAGATCTGGCAGGGGAGAGCATGCTGCAAGTACCATCTGCAAGATGCCTACATTTGATGGGTCCCAAGAGGAATGCCTGCTTTGCTGAGGCCTTATGGAACATTCCCTGCCTCCCACAGTCAGTTCCCTTGATCTTTCCCTCAAGACTTGGTTATGTCATCAAGATTTGGAGTCCCAGGGAACTGGTGATATTATAAGATGGCTCCCCTACTGTGGTTGATGTGGTTGGTATATTTATTCTGTCTGTTCGTGCCTTTTATACTTTTTAGTAGTATTTTAATTTTTAATAATGAATGTTCATATGTTATGATGATTGTTTTTATAATGATTATGTTTATGTTATTGTTTTATTTGTTTGTTGGACACTACCCAGAGTCACTTTTGGTGAGATGGGTACTATATAAATTTGATAAATTAAATAAAAGCTATACACCTATGTATTGAGTGAAAACAGATGCATACTTTCATACAATTATGCTAATCAATTATTTCTGCTGTTTGAATGAAATAATTGTATTCAGAACTATTTTTTAAAAGCACAAAAACCAGCACTTTCTCAGAGGACACTACCCACAATCAAATGCAACCTTTAAAAGCAAGAATATATTTAGCAGTCAATTTCCAGAAAAACTACAGTATTATGTTTTCATTTACCTACAACTTATGAAATAAATATATTAACAGCTGTTAGCTAATATGGATTGGCAACATAGTAATGTGAGTATCTAAGCTATCATGAAAAACAAATTGTATGTCACAGCTGTTTTTCAATATTAAATAGATAATTCTGAAACATAAAATCCTACTGCTAATACATGTGGGAGTGTGTTGTTTTATTTCTTTGGAAACTGAGAGTCACTCTAGACTTCCAAGAATTAGACTGTTCCATATTATTAGCTTTCTCTCTCTCTCTCTCTCTCTGGCAAAACATAAAAAGTATTCAGAACGAGTGAAAAGACTGTTGAATCTTTTACAACTAAAAATAATAAAAGCAAACTTGTCATAATAGAAAGCTTGGTTTTATTTTACTATATCTGATGCATCTTGCCAATAAATAGTTTAATACCTGTCTTATTTGGTCCTGAGAACTTGAAACAACATCAGATCATAAGCAACCAGAGAGGAACAAGAGAAATAATAAAACAAGTGTCAAAATCACAATGCAAATTCTGCTCCTTAATATTTGATTCCAACCTATATAAAAGGACAGTGATCTCATCATGCCATCACAATGCATCTTTCATTGTTTTAGCGCCATTATGGCCAGTTGCAGACATTTATAAACCAGAGTAAATATAAACACTAAAAGCAAATTTACAACATGAGCAAAATTCATCATTCAGGCTAAATAGCTTCTAATTTTCACCCAGACACCCTTTTTTTATTTATTATATTTAGAAGGCCATTCAATTCCGTAAATATTTTGGATGATTTAGAACTTTAATAATTGTAAACTTACTACTTAAAGGTAAAATTTCCCCTCACACATACATGCTAGTTGTTTTTGGCTCGAGTGGGCATTGCTAACCTCCATTACAAAGCCGAAGAGCCAGTGGTGTCTGAAGACGTCTCCATGGTCATGTGGCCGGCATAACTAAACACCAAAGGTGCAAGGAACACTGTTACCTTCCCACCAAAGTGGCCCCTATTTTCTACTTGCATTTTTACATGCTTTCGAACTGCTAGGTTGGCAGAAGCTGGAACAAGTAACAGAAACTCACTCTGTTATGCGGCACTAGGGATTCAAAGCGCTGAACTACCAACCTTTCTGATCGACAAGCTCAGTGTCTTAGCCACTGAACCACTGCATCCCAAAAAGTTTTTATTAATTATATAATAAAAACCATAAAACCCCATTCAAATTAATAGAAACAATTCTATAAAGCCTTATTGCCACTCCAGCCCAAGCGCCTGGAGGAAATGGCTAGTTTTTTAAGGGGTAAGATTGGTGGGTGGGTCTCTTGTGGAGGAGAAGGGCCAGATATCAAGTGCTCCAACAGAAAAGTTACAGCCCTCAGTCTGAGCGGGCAACATTGTTTAATCAATGAAATTATTGGACATAAACAGTTCATGCTTTTGGGGGGACATGAGCCATGAAGGGCTTTATAGTTGGCACCATTATCTTGAATTTCATTCTTGCTGTATGTTCTGCCTCCCTCAATACTGACAGGAACTAGCCACATAATATTTTCCCCTTTCATTTAAGAATGCATTCTTTGCACACTTCCATATTAAATGGAAAGATTTAACAGTTCATTATTCAATTAAGAATATTTGTATTAGACACTGTTTTCCTCCATTCCTCTATTTCATATAATATTCCTGCTTTATAATGAAAACCACATATATCAAAATTCTTATTTGATCGTCTCTAGAAAATTCAAATGTCAAATTCCAATTTGATTTGATTTGCATTTCTAGTTTTGACAGATTGTTCAATGTAATGTTTTCTTGTTTAGATATAATTGCAAATTATGTTCTCTGTGAAAATAGAAGCAAAAGAGAAAAAATACAACTAACAAACAGTGAAAACATTCAACGATAAGGTTTAAATCATGGATAACCAACTACGATTCAAAAATGAGTTATCCGCATGACAAATTACTTCCTTTGTTTTCTTTAATTTGTATATGAAGATGTCATTGTAGTTATTCTAATTTTGAATATGCATTAATATTTTTATCAGCATCTATTTTAATATTCATTACAAGTATGTAAGATTTTATTTTAGTCATGTTTAAGAATAGTAAATACAACATGTCTATGATGATTGAAATTCTGTTCATACAATCATTATTTTAAATTGGTAATTACTGAATTTTAAATTTCATCTATCAGCCTGGATTACTTCTGAAAAATAACCAATCCTTTCTTCTTGATGATTCTGGAGATTTGGATCTGGCAGTAGGTCTGCAAAGAAAGGTCAAAAAACGTCAAGATGACAGGTGAAGAAACTTCATTGCATGTAAGTGCAACATCAACATCAGCATAAATGGAGTGGAAATTTAACTTCCTTGAAAGGCCCATCATCTTGACTTTTCAACTTCCTACAATGCTGCTACTAATCACCTGTTTCTTAAAAAATAATTAAGCCAACTTACAGTTATAAATTCAAACTCAACATTCATCCATTTCATCTAGTATTTGTGGAACTGCAATGCTAAATATGAAATATACAATATACCATAACAGTATGAAATACTGTTAAAATCAGCTGTATTCAATGATGCTTTAATACTCTTAATTATTCAGTCGAAGGCTAGAATCCAAAGTCTATTTTAGGTTTAGGAGCTTAGGCTTGTTCATTTGATTTTATTAATAACATTTGTATTTCAACAACAGATCTTCATGCCAAATAGAAAACAGCTTTATAATTCCTTTTGCTTCAAAAATAGTTTACTATACAGTAGATTCTGTTTGAGAAATATATAATCCATTTCTCACTGGGTATGCAAAATTCTACTAGTACAATAACAATTGGTGATTAATACATTTGAAAAATAAATAAACGATCATACAAATATAGTGCATATAAGGTTTAAATGTAAGACTTAAATTTAAGGTATAATCCAATTCTTTCTTTTTGTCTCTCTAAAATTGCTTTCTAGTAATTGTTAATTGCTGCATTTCCATTTTTCTCTTAGTCTCTGGAATTGTCATCTTGATTCATGAGAATCAATTATGAGAAAGTCGTAATTTTCTCTTGGTATAACTTGTTCTTATAAGAAGTTAATACAAGAAAACTTTAGAGACTTTTTTCTCTATGACTTTATCATTAGGCTTTAGAGAACTTTCAAAAAGTGGCCCAATTAAATGCAGATTACAATAATACTATACTATATTACTACTATAATTATACTATATTACAATAATAATCAAAGAACATGGAAATGCACTGATTTACTTGTAAATCTGTTCCTTTGCCTTAAGAAACTGTTCAGATTCAGGTTAGCATAGATAGCAAATTTTGTTTCAGAATGTATTTATTAATAATTTATCATTATTTCATATGATTTATATACTGTCTCAGGTGTAGTTGCTGCTTTGTGGTTTTGTTGCCTTCAAGTCAGTGTTGACTCATGGCAGCTGCCTGGAATAGTCCCTGAAGTTTTCTTGGCAAGATTTCAGAAATGGTTTACCATTGCCTGCTTCCTAGGGCTGAGAGAGTGAATGGCCCAAGATCACCACTTGGCTTCGTACCTGTAATGAGGTATTAGAACTCACAATTCCCCAGGTTTTTTAGGCTGATAACTTAACTGCACCAAATTGGCTCCCAGATGTAGACTCAACAATACAAATATAACATCAACTAACCCTAACTGAAACACTAATCACCCAACAAGATTGTTATGTCCAGAGTTTATAAAAACATGAACCATAAAGGTGCTTATCAGTAATGATTGGCTCTTTTATTTGTACCAGAAATCTATTGACGACCAATGCAGGTCTCACAACATCAGTATTATTTGACTAAAATTACTACAGCCAATCAGCAAGGGGATAGCTGGATCAATTTTCATTTCCAATTAACCTTAAAAACAGAATCATCTAGAACACATTTCAGTAATTCATCCATAAGGATGAAGGCAACACAGACAACTATTCATTCAATGAAGAATCTACTAATTCTCAGATCTGATCACTTGCTTTGTCTCAGGCAGTTCAAACCAGTTAAAAAGCTGGGGATCCAGCTTACAAGTAGCTAAGCTTTTATATCTGTTCTCATGGACCGGTTCCATTTCTTTACCAAAAAAATGTATTCATCATTTTATAGCTAACATCTCTTAATGCGCAGTATAATAAAGTATCATGAAATCCAAAATCCATATAAATCAGGACAAAAGCATCATCATAAAGTAGTACACAAGAAAGCAGCATTAAATTACAACTAAAACAGGAATCACAAGCATATCTAAAACTGTCATAAATACGTTGTTTTAAAAGACAACATAATAGCAAAAAATAAATAAATAAAAATATATCTCTGGGAAAGAGGAGACAGGGAATCTAATATACTTGACAATAGTGCTTCAGCATGGAAGGACATCAGTGCAAGACCTCCAGTGATAATTTCAGGGAATTTCAGGAATATACAAGAAGAGGCATTCCTTCAAATACTCTGTCTCCAAGCAATTAAGAGATTTACTAATACCAATATCTTAAATTAGTCTTTAAATTATAAAGGCTAGGAGCAAATGAAGATCATATATGAGTAGCATAAGATAATCCTGATACCCAAATTCGTTCCATTATTCAGTTGCCATATTTTGTTCTAACTTAAGTGCCCAAACCATGTTCAACGAGTGTTTCTATTCAAGTAAGATAACTATGTGGCAAAATATATCTAGTAAGCTGGTAAAGGGCATTCCAGACCAAATAATATTCTTGTGCTTCTAAATAACAGAAATGGATCCATGTATATACCTGTACACACACACCAAATGTGATTATTTTAGGAAGATTCTAACTTTTGAACATCATTGCAGTGGCACAGTGGTTAGAGTGCAGTACTGCAGGCTACTACTGCTGACTGCCGCCTGACTGCAATTTGGCACTTCAAATCTCACCAGCCTCAAGGTTGACTCAGCCTTTCATCCTTCTGAGGTTGGTAAAATGAGGAGCCAGATTGTTGGGGGCAATATGCTGACTCTGTAAACCACTTAGAAAGGGCTGTAAAGTACTGTGAAGCCATATTTAAGTCTAAATGTTATTGCTATTCATCCAGAAAAGCAAACCCCATACTAGCAGTGCCTCCACTGCCTTCATTTTCCTGTGTGATTCTTTAGTGATTCTTTAGTGTATTGTCAAGATCATTTCCACAAACAGCATTTTCAAGGCCTTACCTGGGTGATAAAAACAAATCTGGATGTGTTTATCAGCATCCTCATGGCACTACAGTGTAATTCTTCAAAAGACAATCTAAGCTTTTCATGTATATTTTATACAGCATAAAGGGTGAATGAAATAATGAAGGTGCACATAGTATTAAAAAAAACATAGGGAGGAGCTCGGATGCTGTTCTGCAAATATGCAGATTGTTAAACAGAATAGAGGTAAGATAAAATCTTAAAGTTTTGAAAAGTTTAACTGCCATAAAGCCTACCAGGAATTCTCCAAGTGCCACCTTCTGGAAGCAGTCATCTAAGGTTAAAGAGAACAGCTATACAGATGCACTGCCAAAACCCTAACTCTGGCAAGCCCTTCAGAAGTATTTGATAGATCATGGCATCAAAAGCCACTAACAGGCCCAGGAGTCCAATTCAACCAAGATCAGCCACCACCCCCTTGAGCACTTCATCTACTGGTCTATACTGTAATTACTCAGTTTATTTTGGGTCAGAAATGGAAGGGAAAGGTTGTTTTTCTCTTTCCTCACTGTATCCCTTGAACTTTATCCAGTTGTTTCTTTTTCTGAGTAATTGGAACTTGTTATGTTCTAATAGTCAACATCATACTGTGATATGACTGGGAGAGTTTTGAAAGCTAATCATTCATATGTTCCATGTTTCACAATGTCTAATGTCATAAAATTACCCTGCTTCATTTTTCTGCTTATATAAGAAGCATGTGCTTTTCCCAACAACATCCCAGAAGTGAAGTATCACTCCTTTGAAACCCATTTTATTTGGCAGCAGACTGAAGTGGTGATTGCTCAAAAGAGCAAGTATAAAAGCAATCAGGAAACCTACCCTTATTTTCCAAGGTAAAATAATGTGAGGAAGAATGAGTTAAGCATGCATTAATTGTTCTAGAAAGGTATATACAAGGCACAAATAGGTTGTAACATCTCAGATTTTTTCTTCCACAATGAAGGCATAAATAGGTGGAATATTTAAATTAATTTAAGTTAACCAACAAGGAATTCACTAGCAGCACTATCACACAAAGATGCAGGCAGCTAAGATTATTAAAATTCTTCTAATGAAGAATTTTCCTTTCATCACATAAACATAAGGACATACACAAACCATGATACAATGTTAATTTACTTTTTGAAAATTATTTTAGAATGTATGATATATAAGAATAATTTAAAATGCTATTGAATAATTATATAAACTAATGTTTTTCAAAACAAATTAAAAGTGGCTACTTATTCCAATTTATCACTTAGATCTTGATGGGGGCAGAGCAAATCTCATTTTAAACCAGCATTATATCTGGCTCTTCTTATAAATTACAAACTTTGAAGGACTTTTATACTGTTGTGGTTTAATATCAAGGTTGGGGGGACCCCTCAAAATACCCTATACTTTATCCCTGCAAAGATGGGAGCACTGGATCATGGGATCATATCTGCTATATGGTAATTTTTACCAAGGCACTCCCAATGCATTACTTGCACGTTCTCCAAGCTCATTTCCACATCAGACAAAGGAATTCTCTATGTGGCTTTTTTGTCAAATAAATATTCCAAGATCACAAAAAAAATACAATTTTGTATTTGTAGCTTGTAGAATTCTTGTGTTGTTGACAGCAAAGTAGCCCTTTTTATGTCTTTCATGTGTTACATTTTAATTTTTTAAATGAAGTTTGGATCAGTGACTTATAATAAAGTTTGACTGGACTTAACATGACTTGCTTAGCCATGATCCACAAGATTTAAAGGTGAACATTATTATAAAGAGATGTGCAAGAAAGCACTCAAATCCTACAGTCTTGTTACACAGTCTACTTAATCAAGCTATTCTATTTTTTAAAAAATGCAGTATCTTTATAAAACTATCTACACCAGTGGTGTCAAACTCACGTCATCACGGTGGCTTCACGTGACAGATCGGGACTTCTTCCCCCTTCACTAAACCTGGCATGGGCGATAGCATGTGATGCATCCAGCCCACGAGTCAGGAGTTTGACAGCCTTGATCTACACAGAGATATCTAGAACATAATCATTATTGCTG